AATCCCTGGCCAAACTTATCAAAAAGAAAAGAGAAATGACCCAAATCAACAAAATCATGAATGAAAGAGGAGAGATCACAACCAACACCAAAGAAATACAAACAATTATAAGAACATATTATGCGCAACTATATGCCAGCAAATTAGATAATCTGGAGGAAATGGATGCATTCCTAGAGATGTATCAACTACCAAAACTGAACCAGGAAGAAATAGAAAACCTGAACAGACCTATAACCACTAAGGAAATTGAAGCAGTCATCAAAAATCTCCCAACAAACAAGAGCCCAGGGCCAGATGGCTTCCTAGGGGAATTCTACCAAACATTTAAAGAATAATTAATACCTATTCTTCTGAAACTGTTCCAAAAAATAGAAATGGAAGGACAACTTCCAAACTTGTTTTATGAGGCCAGCATTACCTTGATCCCAAAACCAAAGACCCCATCAAAAAGGAGAATTACAGACCAATATCCCTGATGAACATGGATGCAAAAATTCTCACCAAAATACTAGCCAATAGGATCCAACATTACATTAAAAGGATTATTCACCATAATCGAGTGGGATTTATTCCTGGGCTGCAGGTTGGTTCCGCAAATCAATCAGTGTGACACAACACATTAATAAAAGAAAGAACAAGAACCATATGATCCTCTCAATAGATGCAGAAAAAGCATTTGACAAACTACAGCATCCTTTCTTGATTAAAACTCTTTAGAGTGTAGGGATAGAGGGTACATACCTCAATATCATAAAAGCCATCTATGAAAAACCCACAGCGAATATCATTCTCAATGGGGAAAAACTGAGAGCTTCCCCCTAAGGTCAGGAACATGGCAGGGATGTCCACTATCACCACTGCTGTTCAACATAGTATTAGAAGTCCTAGCCACAGCAATCAGACAACAAAAAGAAAGAAAAGGCATCCAAATCGGCAAAGAAGAAGTCAAACTCTCACTCTTTGCAGATGATATGATACTTTATGTGGAAAACCCAAAAGACTCCGCCCCAAAACTGCTAGAACTCATACAGGAATTCAGTCAAGTGGCAGGATATAAAATCAATGCACAGAAATCAGTGGCATCCCTATACACCATCAACAAGACAGAAGAAAGAGAAATTAAGGAGTCGATCCCATTTACAATTGCACCCACAACCACAGGATACCTCGGAATAAATCTAACCAAAGCGGCAAAGGATCTGTACTCAGAAAACTATAAAATACTCATGAAAGAAATTGAGGAAGACACAAAGAAATGGAAAAATGTTCCATGTTCATGGATTGGAAGAACAAATATTGTGAAGATGTCAATGCTACCTAGAGCAATCTACACATCAATGCAATCCCCAACAAAATACCACCCACTTTTTTCAAAGAAATGGAACAAATAATCCTAAAATTTGTATGGAACAAGGAAAGACCTCGAATAGCCAGAGGAATGTTGAAAAAGAAAAGAAAGCTGACGGCATCACAACTCCCAACTCTATTACAAAGCTGTAATCATCAAGACAGTATGGTACTGGCACAAAAACCGAAACATAGATCAATGGAACAGAATAGAGAGCCCAGAAATGGACCCTCAACTCTATGGTCAACTCATCTAAGACAAAGCAGGAAAGAATGTCTAATGACAAAAAGACAGTCTCTTCAACAAATGGTGTTGGGAAAATTGGACAGCCACATGCAGAAGAATGAAACTAGACCATTTCCTTACACCACACACAAAAATAGACTCAAAATGTTCAAAAGACCTAAATGTGAGACAGGAGTCCATCAAAATCCTAAAGGAGAACACAGGCAGCAATCTCTTCGACCTCAGCCACAGCAGCTTCTTCCTAGAAACATCACCAAAGGCAAGGGGAAGCAAGGGGAAAAATGAACTATTGGGACCTCATCAAGATAAAAAGCTTTTGCACAGCAAAAGAAACAGTCAACAAAACCAAAAGACAACCAACAGAATGAGAAAAGATATTTGCAAATGACATATCAGATAAAGGGCTAGTATCCAAAATCTAGAAAGAATTTATTAAACTCAACACCCAAAGAACAAATGATCCAATCAAGAAATGGGTAGAAGACATGAACAGACATTTTTCCAAAGAAGGCATCCAAATGGCCAACAGACACTTGAAAAAGTGCTTAACATCGCTCAGCATCAGGGAAATCCAAATCAAAACCTCAATGAGATATCACCTCACACCAGTCAGAATTGCTAAAATTAGCAAGTCAGGAAATGACAGATGTTGGCGGGGATGCAGAGAAAGGGGAAACCTCCTACACTGTTGGTGGGAATGCAAGCTGGTGCAGCCACTCTGGAAAACAGCATGGAGGTTCTTCAAAAAGTTGAAAATAGAGCTACCATATGATCCAGCAATTGCACTACTGGGTATTTACCCCAAAGATATAAATCTAGGGATCCGAAGGGGTACATGTACCCCAATGTTTATAGCAGCATGTCCACAATAGCCAAACAGTGGAAAGAGCCAAGATGTCCATCAACAGATGAATGGATAAAGAAGATGTGGTATATATATATACAATGGAATATTATGCAGCCATCAAAAGGAATGAAATCTTGCCATTTGCAATGACGTGGATAGAACTGGAGAGTGTTATGATGAGTGAAATAAGTCAATCAGAGAAAGACATGTATCATATGACCTCACTGATATGAGGAATTCTTAACCCCAGGAAACAAACTGAGGGTTGCTGGAGTGGTGGGGTGTGGGCAGGATGGGGTGGCTGGGTGATAGACATTGGGGAGGGTATGTGCTATGGTGAGCGCTGTGAATTGTGCAAGCGTGTTGAATCACAGATCTGTACCTCTGAAACAATACATTATATATTAAAAAAAAAGAAGAAGAAGAAGAAGAAGAAGATAGCAGGAGGGGAAGAATGAAGGGGGGGAAATCAGAAGGGGAGACGAACCATGAGAGACGATGGACTCTGAAAAACAAACTGAGGGTTCTGGAGGGGAGGGGGTGGGGGGATGGATTAGCCTGGTGATGGGTATTAAAGAGGGCACGTTCTGCATGGAGCACTGGGTGTTATACACAAACAATGAATCATGGAACACTACATCAAAAACTAATGATGTAATGTATGGTGATTAACATAATAATAAAAATAAATAAAAAATTATAGTCCACACTGAGGATACTGGATACACCTGTGTAACACACACACTTTTTCTCGTTAAAGAAGGTAACTACAGGTCCTGCTCTAACCGCAACTCCACTTGGGTGCAAATTCATGCCAATAATTACAGTAGTTATAGTATTTCTTTGGAACAGGCCTGTTACTCAAATCATTGTGGAGACTCTATTACAGCATCCCCAGAAAGTCGGGAGGCCAAACACAAGGCACCGATCTAGTAGGCGATGCTACCGTTTATATTTATGCAATCTCTTCTACCACATTACTCAAGGATGGCTTCGACAAACTTTTTAAAGTCCTTTCCTACTGCTACAGACTCCATTACTATTCGCAAGCTCCTACCTCTTATGAAGCCTTCATCGGGTATTAAAAAAAAAAAAATTCACATCAGAATTTCAAACATACCAGTTTCAGTTATAAGGCATGATAATCCTAATGACATTAGCTTGTGGTATTTTAAAACCTTACTCCATAATCACTGTATCTTTCCCCCATTCTCAAAGGATTCTAGATTAAAACTGGCACTCTTCTGCTTTTTCCAGTCTCTGAGGTGAAGAACATGAAACAATTGTCCTCCAACTAGAGTTTAATTTCTCTTTTGGCCGTTTGCCAAAAATGCCACAGGGAAGGAATCAAAACAACTAAGCGTTTGCTTGAGTTTTTGCCAAGAAAACTTTCCCCCACTTCCTTGATCACACAAATTCTCTTAAAAAAAAAAAAAAAATTCCTCTTCTATGTGAAAACAGAAGTGAGTGGGACCATATTTTTGCCTTTTCCAAAGGCCTGTTTTATCAGCACAGTCTAGTCTAGCTGGGCCTACACATTGCTTCTCTCTGTAACACACTAGGAACCTTTACACTGGCTGCCGTAAAGACCTCACAAGAAGATAATGTTTAAAGCAATGTTCGGGCAGCAGTAACATAGGACCCAAAGGGATTGCTCTAAATTTTTCAACAGATTAAACTGTGGAATACATCCAAGGGGGAAGAAAAAAAAAAAAGGAAATGAAAATACAATTATAGCTACTGTCAGTGCACCTGTGAAAACCAATCCTGCAGGTTTTAGCCAGTGAGCTAGGGTTTTGAATTTTAAATAAAGATCTCTATAATCTGGCAAGTGACTTCACATGTCTCACCCTTCATCTCCTTAACTATTAAATACCTCACACCAACGGATTTTGGACAACTCTGATGATTAAACACCATGTGTCAACACAAAACTAAGGTGTATGAATAACAGAGAGAAAACAGGACACCTTCAGATGAGTATGACTCACGAAACATTCAATCACAAATTAAAATTCTACCAACTATAGGCCTTTTTTAACATTTTATCACATATAATTCACTCTCTATCGGATACTGTGTGGGTTTCTGGCTTTATCTCACATTACTCCCTCTGCCTGTAATTTCCATCTAAATATCTTTCTATGGGAAGCCATTTCCAACCTGCTAATCTCTCCAAATCTGCTAATCTTCCCCAACCTTCTGCAAGTTAAATACTTCTGTGCTCCCAAAGCGTTTTGCTCATGCCATTATTCTGTTTTATGGGATAATGGGAGGCGTGTGTGCCCCAATATTTGCTGGAGAATGGACTCCTAAAGGCAGAAATCCTTTCAGGGCTCCACCTACCCAGTATCTACCAGTGATTAGCATACAGCAGGCAATAAATAAATGGGAATTAATTAATCAATTCTCACTCTTTTTCACCCTCTAAAAGAGGAAAGAGACCAAACACCTTCTAAAGGGATTTCTATTTTTAACATTTACAAGAACATTAAGTGAGATTTTTTGGAAATTTTAAATACTCTGTCAACCACTACGCCTCTACATAATACTTACTGGCTGGAACAATGAAATCTCCATGTAGTTCATAGGTCATAAGAGGCTCTGGAAGACTCCTGTATGAAAAGGACAGCCCAGAATTACCAAACACATCCCAACAGATCACTGCTCTTTGTGTTCATTTTTTATAAAAGGTTATAAATACGATGTGCATTTCTCAGTTAATGTGTAAAACTTTCCCTAGGAAATTTTTTTACATATCAAAAAGATATATAAATATCTGGATTTATATGGATTACTTTATTAAGTACTACCTGTACCAGGCACTACCAAAGCTTAAGCAGTCACAAATCCTTATCAGATCTAATCACATAATATTTCATATTTAGGGGCGCCTGGGTGGCTCAGTTGGTTAAGTGACTGCCTTCGGCTCAGGTCATGATCCTGGAGTCCTGGGATCAAGTCCCACATCAGGCTCCCTGCTAGGCAGGGAGTCTGCTTCTCCCTCTGACCCTCCCCCCTCTCATGCTCTCTCTCTCAAATAAATAAAATCTTTTTTAAAAATTTCATACTTAATCTTGGAAAATACCTTTATAAACATCGGAGTTCATATATAAAACTTCTTTCCACATACTAACTTATTTAAAGTCAAACATTCTAACCAACCAAATATAAGCATATAGTTTTGAAAATCATCTCTAGGATATTAACTGAAGATGCTACAAAAAAAACATTAAAAACTTTAAACAAAGATATCCTCTCCCCTTACAAATCTCTATTACAGAAATATGATATCCATTTTTGGCTTATGCCTATGAAACAATAAAAGAGATATGAAATAAAATTGATAACAATGTGAAAAATGCCCAACATAATTTTAATCTTCTACCAAACAGATTACACGAATGGCAGTGTATTTTATCCTGTGGTCAAAGAGTGCTACAGTTCAGTCAATCTTTATATGTATCTTAAATTTTAAAAGACCCGATCTCTGAACTCTGTAAAAACACTTAAAGAATACTTAGACAAGTATTAATCTGCACAGTCTTCCTGGAGGGCAATCTGGCAAGATATTAAAAATCTTTAAGAGGTTTAAATTGTGTAACCCAGAAATTCCTCTTCAAATGCTTAAGAAAAAAAAAATCAAAGACACACACACAAAAAAAATTTAAGACATATACAAAAGCCAAGAAAAAAATGCAGGGATAAAGGAGTTCATTTCATGTCGATAAAGAGGACAATTAATCAACAAGACATAACAATTCTAAATGTTAATGTGTCTAATAATAACAGGAGTTTCAAAATAAATGAAGCAAATATTGATGGAACTATAAGAAGAAACAGACAAATCCACACCTATAGCTGGTGATTTAAATACTTCTCTGTTTGAATAACTTGATGGAACAAGTAGACAAAAAATTCAGTTAGGATACAGAAGACTCGAATAAAGCTATCAACCAATTTTACCTAATTGATATATCCCTCATCTAAATGATATCCCATCCAAAAGGAGCAGAAAACACATTCTTTTCCAGTGCACATGGAACACTTATCAAGATAAACCACATTTTAGGCCATCAAATAATCTCAATAAATTTAAAGGGGTTTAAATTATACCAGCTATTTCTCTGATTACAATAAAAATTGAATTAAAAATCAATAACAAAAAGATATGTGGAAAACCCCAAAGAAAGAGAAACCTAGAAAGTATTGTGAACAAAATGAAAATGAAACACAACATATCAGAATTTAAGGGATGCTATTAGTAAAGCAGTATATAGGGGTAAATTTGTATCATTCAACACCTATAGAAGAAGACAGGTCTTAAACCAATGACTTCACTTTCCATTTTGGAGAGTCAGAAGAAAAAAACAAGAGTAAATTAAACCCCAAATAAGCAAAGGAACCGAAATAAAATGAAGAAGATTCAAATTCAACAAGATAAGTAAAAGGATAATACATCATGACCAAGTTGGGTTTATCACACAAATGTGGTACTGCCTTAATATTAAAACAAAATGAATACAATTCGCCACACTAGCAAACTAAAATAGAAAAACTGTATGATCATCTGAATAGGTAATTCAGGGAAGAAAAGATAGTTCTTCCCATAAATGGTATTAGAATAACTAGGCATTCATATTCAAAAGCAAACTTGGATCCATATCTCATATCTTCCATAAAAATGAACTCAAAACAGATCATAGATCTAAGAGTATAACCTAAAACTAAAACACTTCTAGAAGAAAATATAAAAGAAAACCTTTGTGACTTTGGATGAGGGAAAGATTTCTTGATACATCATCAAAAGTACAGTTCAAAAAAGAGAACTGATAAACTAGAACTTCATCAAAATTGATGCTTTTTGAAAGACACTAGTAAGAGAAGGAAAAGGCAAGTCACAGACTGAAGAAAACATTTGCAAAGCACGTATCTGATGAAGGACTTGTATCCAAAATACAATTAAAACTTATCAAAATACAATAAGGAAACAGTTTAGTTTTTTTAATTCCATGAAAGACATTTCACCCAAGAAGATAGCAAATATGCACATAGAAAAGTTTAAGCTTATCAGTCATCATGGAAGTGAAAATTAACAGCACATGAGATACCACTATACACCTGTTAGAATGGCTAAAATGAAAAAGACTAACCATACCAAGAGTTGGCAAGGATGCAGAGGAAATGGAACTCTTGCACATTTAGGGTGAGAATGCAAAAAAATGTAACCACTTTGAAAAAAATATTCATCAGTTCCCCAAAATGTTATACATACATCCAATATATAATGTAGACAGACATTCCACTCCTTGGCTTGACCCAAGAGAAATATAAGCCTGTTCACTCAAAGATATGTACAGAAGGGATTTGGGTATCTTTATTTGTAATAGCCAGAAGCTACAAACAACCCAAATATCCATCATGAGGTGAATGGATTTTAAAAACATCTGTGGTGTAGGGGCGCCTGGGTGGCTCAGTCAGGTAAGCGTCCAACTCTTGATTTCGGCTCAGGTCATGGTCTCGGCATCGTGAGATCGAGCTCCACATCAGGCTCCATGCTCAGTGGGGAGTCTGCTTGAGATTCTCTTTCCCTCTCTGTCTGCTCCTCCCCCGCCCACACGGACTCTAACAAATAAATCTTAAAAAAAAAAAAAAAATCTGTGCTGCATCCACACAACGGAACCCTGGTTAGCAACAAGAAGGAATGAGCTACTGGTACAAACTACAGCACAAACGAACCTCTAATTAAATGAAAAAACCCAGATTTTTTTTTTAAGATATATTTCTATTCCATTTATATGAAATTTTAAGAAATGCAAATTAATGTACAGTGACAGAAAGCAGACCAGTGGTTGCCTAGGAATGAGGGAGTAAAAGGGAAGGGTAGGAGAGGGGGATCCCTAAGGGGCATGAGGAAACTTTGAGGGGTAGTGGTTAGGTTCACTATCTTGATTATGGCCACTGCTTTATAGGTGTATGCACATGTCAAACTTACCCCAATGTAAAAAATATATTGTTTATTACAGGTCAATTTCACTTCACTAAAGCTGTTTAAAAAAAAACTAAAACAGATACAAAAATATATTTACAGGTCATATTCCCTATACACAACTTAGGATACTACAGTACACACACACACACATTCACACATACACACACAATCACAATGACAACCATAGGCACGTCAACTAAAACTTAAAGCCCTAGTGAAGAAAAGCTGTTTCTTATTTCCTTTCTCCCTCCCCTTCATCTCCTACGCTCTCATTTAAAAAAAAAAACAAAATCAATTATCCCACAGCCTAAATAAAAAGAAGTAAACCTTAGGAGTTTTTTATTTCAAAATGTGTGAAAAATGGCAAGGAAGGAAAATGATGACTTGGCACAGAAGGAAAGCTAAACAGTCCTGAAAAGAAAACTGGGGTGAGGAGGGTGGTAGAGAACACTTAGAAAAGCCATAGAGAGCATTTCTTTCCCAATAAAAATGAATTTGCATCGAAATACCTTCTACGAGCTGCATCTCCCATTGCCATTTGTCTGCTAGTCAACATAGCATAAATAGTAAGTATTAAATATTGTTGATGGGAGGGAAGCAGTGATAAAGATGACAAGTTCCCCATACAAAATGTATTCTACCGAGTTACTCTGTCTCTCAACTTGCCATCCAACATGTTTCAAGCTACCTCTCTTTGCCACCCCTTGGGAACTGTCTATGAGTATAAATCATAATATTTATCTAAGCTGGCATTTTCTTCCCGAAAAGTTCCATTCCAATTTCCAGGCTTTAAAAGTTTCTTCTAGCTCAAATCAGTTTACGAAAAACCTCACAAAATAGCTCATTTGTCCCCTCACAATGGGAAACCATTGTAATGAACACATTGCTGGAAATCAAAATTATGGTATGAATAGATAGGTAATCAATCAGGGAACTGGTATTCAGCCCTCTAAAACACTAAAGTAAAGAATTTTTGCCTCAAGTCAGGAGAAGAAAAACGGAGATGCCATACATCTATCTGCTGCACATCTTTACCCTTCAAGTGTTTTAGGGGTTTGGCTACTTCCTTCTTACACCTCCAACCTCCCAACCAATAAGATGGCTGGGTTATTTGCAGTGAGAAGAATTCAAGAGCAACAGCTTTTTTGGTGAGAAAAGCTATATTCAACTTTGTGCTATGGTACCTTAGGTGACAAAGCTGGGATTCCAACCCACGCAGGCTGGCTCCAACCATGCTCTTGACCAACACACGGTATTACCTCTTGTACTGAAAGAAATGCACAGGCTCAGGCCATAACCAGATAGCCAAAATAAAAATTCCCTTTTCTCCCATTTGGTGCATCACCAGAGAAAGTATTACTTAAATCCTAATTACTGCATTTTTAGTTGCTAAAAATAACACAGGGGAAAGAACAGCAACCTAACTTTCAAAATCTCCCAAGGCATCTGCCATTTTATGATAATCACTTTATCACATTCAGGCAGACTGCGTATATTGTTAGGAATGAAGTTATATAATAATAGCATCTCATAATGTTGTTCTGTAGGCAATGTTTGCTTAAAAGCAGAATTCAAAAGGATAAAGCAATGTAATGAGAGAAAAAGGCAGACAAAGCAACATAAGACTAGGAGCGATAAGGGACTAGCTTCAGAAAGTATCAAGAACTAAAAAGAAATTTTATGTACGGTACTCAATAAAAAGATCCTCTAAGTTTATTAAACTACTTACCCCACCAGGAAAAAAAGAACCATGTGGAACAGGGTTAAAAAAACAAAACAAACAAACAAAAACCTCATGCAATTCATTATAAAACAGCTGGATTTTTGCCTTTAGTTTCCCACCAATAACTGAGTCACTTTGGTCAATCCCTTTAACTGTATTAGTCAAAGAGTAAAAGGAGTTTAAAGCTACCTCCTAGAGTGGCAGCACCCTTTTCTCAAGTTAACATATGCAGTTCATTGTATTTTTATATCCCTCTCCCATTCTTTCCTTCATCCATCTCTTACGGGCTTTCTCAATCTCAGCACTACTAACATTCTGTACATTTGGGAGCAATCATGGGTAACCTCCTGGATGTTTAGCAGCCCATCACTGGCCTCCCCCCCATTACATGCCAAGTAGCACCTCCTTTCCAGCAATCGTGACAACCAACAATACTTCCAGACATTGCCATGTATCTCCTGGGGGGATGCAAAATTTCCCCAGTTGAGAAGCCCTATATCCTGGTGACAGGTACAGCTCTAGATGCTGGAGATACTGCAATGAACAAGACACACAAGATGCCTATCTTTAGGAAGCTTACATTCTAATCCCCAGGTGGGACCTAAGGAAATTCATTTTGTCCGTAATTCTCATCCAAACCAGTTAGTCACTATCAGTTAGGGAGACATTAACACATAGATTTAGCAGTAATCTTATCCTTTTATCAACTAGGGACAATAATGTACTTCAGAGTTTAAGAAAAAAATTTTTAAACAGTGGTTAAAAATACCTTGCTTAAATAAAATACTCAAAAATAGGTAATACACATCTAAACCCACTGCTAAGTTTTAATCTCATTAAAAAATGGGACAACCGGGCACCAGAGTGGCTCAGTCAGTTGGGATGTCCGACTCTTGATTTGGGCTCAGGTCATGATCTCAGGGTTGTGAGGTTGAGCCCCATGTCGGGCCCCACGTTCAGCAGGGAGTCTGCTTGAGATTCTCCCTCTGCCCCTCCCCATGCTTGCGCTCTCTCTCAGCTCTCTCCCTCTCTAAAATGAATAAATCTTGGGAAAAAAAGAAAAGAAATGAAAAAGTGGGACAAACAGGTAACAGGCCTCCTGATATATTACAGGAAGAATATAACACCACTATGATATTCTTGGAATAAATCAATTTTTAAAAAACCTAATCTGAATCTAATGAATTCTATAGATTTAACTGTTTACAGGAAATATGATGACTAGAGAAACACGTTAAATGACACCATGACACAAACTGCCATATCTAAAATATGGAAAATTATACTTAAAAACGACCCAGGTTGGGACCTGTGGAGTATGGTCAATTGAGCATAGGACTCTTGGTTTCAGCTCAGGTCATGATCTCAGAGTTGTGAGATCGAGCCCCACATTGGGCTTCGTGCTGTGCGGAGTCTGCTTAAGACTCTCTCTCTCCCTTTCCTTCTGCCCTGCCCCTCACCCCTCCTCTAAAATAAATAAATAAATCCTTAAAAAAATAAGAACAAAAAAATAAAAATGAGCTAGGTTTATAAACAAACAGAAATGCTGAGGGAGAAGAAAGCTGTGCAGAGGCAGGGGACTGTGCAGATTAAAAGTGACTTAAAACATATAAAATGTGTTGACATTATTCAAACCCTACAGGAATTTAAATAAATATGAAAAGACCTTTTGGAAAAAAAAAATCAGTAAAAAAAATCAAACATGGATTCAGTACTGGATGATATTAATTTTGTTGGGTATGATCATTGTATTCTCTTTGTCTTTCTATATTGTCTTTTTTTCTTAAGTCTTTACCTTTTTATAGACATATACTTAAGTATTTATGGGTGCAGCAATATGATGTTTTAGAAAATCTTTCAAATATTATCCAAAAGAAGTAGCAGGTAGGGGGATTGCAGAAACAAGAAGGGTAGGATGTTGATAACTGTAGACACGGGGTAGTAGAGCCATGAGGATTCAGTATACTAACCTCTCTGGTTTTACAGACCTGGAATTTTTCAAATAGATGAATTGCTTAAAATATATAATAGCAGTTCATTTTATGTCCTCATTCGAACCCAAATAATATATACCTGAAACACAATCCTCTGTGCTGGTGACCAAGAATCAGTCCTGGGGAAGCACTGTCATTTGTCTGCCACACAAAAATCAAAGTCCTCCATAGGGGCACCACAGCACAGGAATTATGGTCGTCATCCTTTTTCCATTCTTTTACTTCTTTTTTCCCCTCTCGCGGTATTGTTCTTCATCTAATCTCAAGCTTTTTATCATTAAATTCTTTTTTATAAAAAGGGTAATGCCCCATAGAGATGCTGAGCCCTAGTCTAACTCTGGTCCTAAATATCTCCTATAATAAATGCAAGACTTCAGTTTATCTTAAAATCTCAAGTGAACTTCCTTTCAAATAGCTTTGTATTTATGTGTTATCGTTATAAGCCTCTAGGTTCAATGGTTTAAATTTAAACGAAAAAAATCTTCATCTCCGCCTAAAAGAGTCAATGAATTCAATAAATAGCCTTCTTCCTATTTCATAACACTTAACTCCTAAAACTCACATCTACAATAGACATCTATTTCAAAAACCAAATCCATTCCAATTCTGTTGCAATTTACCTAACAACTGACATTCAGCTACTACTTGCCACACTTTTGAAGACACAGATCCCTCCTAAATGTCCCCCTTTTTCATAAGGTTTAACTCGACGACTGAGATCTCTGGGCAGAGTCGGCATCCGCCATGTGTTAGATGCCCAAGAGCACACGCTTCCGTTCTGTCACTGAGAGGAGCTTACCTCAAGTACTGTTTTAGGGCACTTGTTATTGTCTTCACTTCCCAATCTACAGAATTCTCCAGGTCCACCTCATTGCATGTTTTTACATCTAGTGAGTAAGTAAGCAAGAAAACAGTAATTAAAACCCGGAACATTCAACGGCCCCCTTGACTGGCTCACAAAGCTTCCACTTTTAAATGGCCAAACCACAAATAATTAATTCCAGGATTTCTTATAAAAACATACACAGTTTCTTCTAGTATAAGCTGTGTCCTATTATTAGACATTCCTAAGCAACTTCAGAAGATCTGTAGTGGAAATCAAAGGAACAGGATAAGATGGGGCTGGGAGGAGGGAAGACCTGGACAGAGTGGGGCATTTCAATAGTCACAACTCAAAGCATATGTGGGCACGATGACGGCGATGCTGACAGTTATTACTATTATTAAAGACACTACTCGGTAGCCATGGCTTAGAGCATGTGGCATTTGCAGTGTCTACGTATTTTACCACGTCTCAGGTGACATTACAGTCATCACACTGTGTTATGACAAGGGAAACAGCACTGTTAAGGGCAAGATGGCAGCAAGTCAGTGGGAAGAAGGGACAGTAAGCTTGGTCCCATGCTTCTAAGACCTGTACTCAACATATACCTTTCTGAAGATTAATACATGATCCATCAAAATAGCAATAGGGTGACACATACATTTAAACTCAACTTTCACATTAACATCACAATTTGTAAGCTTGTCTAAGAAATACTTATCAGAAGCCTCCGTGCAACACTTCTGACATTCATTCTGAATAAAACTAGTTTTCTTTGTCCTAAAAGTGTTAATGATGTGTTCCTTCCAAATGCCCTTTCAGATAGCCAACAAACTCGGTAGAAAAAGATGTGTGGCTTAAACAAACAAATAAACGGGAGGGGAAGGGAGGTAGTAAATTCTGAAAAGGACAAAGTGAGTCTTTGGTCGAAATAAAAGGAAAGGATGGTGCAAAAGGGAAAGGCAAGCACTCTGGGTAGGGGAGGACCTTTAATCCTTCCAAGGCTGGGCTACTATACCCGGCTGTTGGCTCGGCACCGGGGGAGGAGGAGAGGTGGGCAGCATGTTATCACAAACCTGGGCTTAAATCCCCGCCACCACCCTGAGGGGCTACACCACCCAAACCAAGTCAGTTCTAAACCTGTCCGAACTTCAGGTTTTCGCCTGTACCATGGAGATCAAGTAAACGCTCTCAACTCTGAAGAGCAGCAAAGTAAAACAGGAATGTGTACAGATTCCCATAAATTGTTTAAATAAGTAGGCAATTACCACAGCTGAGTCACTAAAAGTATAAGCGTTCAGAGGCGGTTCCTACTCAAAAGGAGGGGGCAGCAAATGGGTTATGATGAATGATATTAAACAATCGACAAAACTTGCCTGGTTTTCTCTACTCCCATCATCCAAAGGAAAAAAATCAGACATTCCTGGAAGAGATTTTATTTCTCCCTCACTCTAGAATGCTGTTTCAACCAAGTCCCAAGAAAACAAGTCGTTTCAGACTTTTTTTCCTCCCTTAACTATGTATTTGTCTATATAGGGGAGGAAAATCTTGTTAGTTAGTTCCTCTTGAAAGGCACTAAAAAGAAAAGCCTGTCAGAGCGGGACCACTGCAGTCAGTCAGGCTTGCCACTGAAAAAGCTTTGGGCTTGGGCAGGAGGAAGGATAGATGGCAACTCAACGTTATTCTCAAACTTTCTGAAAATAAAACAGGAAGTAATGATTCTTCCACAGCCATAACATCATACATATGAAGTCAATTACTCAAAAGTCTGGAGACTTTTTAAAGCACTTCAACAGTTCTTGATTACAGCAACTGACAGCAACATGCAATAAACTACAACAATGGCAATTGACACTGATTACATTTTGATCAGTTCCTACAATTCAGAACTCATTTGTTACTGGGCTTGTCAGACAAGCCACAGATACATTCAAGAAATCAAATTAAGCACCCTGATTAAAGGTGCAATCCTTTATAACTAGGACTAAATAATTCTGTTCTAAAGGCTTTGCCAACCAATTACTTCAGTAACTGAATATTCTCTCTCTCATTAAATCAATTATTTAAATCTCATTTTAACATACAAGTCAGATAACATTTTCAATCAACTTGCTACCGGCAAATCAGCATTTTAAAATCAGGAGGCTTCTAAAGGAAATCTTTTATTTTTATCTTTCTACCAAATAATCGGTCTATATTTTGAGAATAATATTCTTTCTATGGAAAAATAAGCCATCCTTTGAATTCATGGAATAAAAAGTAGCTGTCGTATCAGAAGCTAATGACTACATAGGGCCTATGGTACTAATCCTCTATTAAATTTTCACTGTTTTCAAATAACTCAATCATCCCTAGCAGTTCTTTACAATCAGTGGATGCACTGGGACCAGGCAAATTTGCTAGTAACTTATTTGGGATTCAAACTTAAAAATGCATTTGAGTGTTCAATCAGAATATATGTTCTACTGTAAACAAGGAAGGAATTTTGCTTCCCTTCTGACCAAGGGACAACACTCTTATGGATTAGTTAAAACTCTAAACTAACAAGCACAGATACAAATAGTCGACTTTTTATTTGGGCTAATGTTTCATAATTATGTAACCAGTGTTCTGTTTTTTTTGAAACTGGAAATTTTCAGCCCCACCTAAATACAAAGTGCTGACACCCTTCTGAATATTGACTTGGGCCCCACTTTAAAGTACTTGACAGAGCACGCTGATGGAATGAATTTTGAGAATATTCTTTATAATCAAAATCAGAATTTTTCACCTACATTAATTTTTCCCCCCAATCCATATAAAAAAAGCTGTCCTACAAATAAACAAGGTAGTATTTTTTAAAGTAAAACTTCTAAATTAGTTTTATTTCTTGTTTTCTATGCTTGTGTCTAAAAATAAAATCATCCAGCCTGTTTTGCAAGTTAAATTTAGAAATAACCACCAAATTCACCAACACACATAAGCTACCACCACATTTTTCTCACAATTCCCCCACCCTGCTCTGATGTTTTCATTCTTCAGTGGGGAGGTGGGAAGAATAATGACAATTCTAACCCATCTTAGTTCTAACCTACCAATACTATTGTAATTAATCTGTTATATTCTCACCCCATTTACTAAAAAATCCATGACTCACCCAAAGACACCTCATCTGATATTTCTCCCTTCCCTCCCCAAGTGCTCCAAGTTTCTATTTAAACAAACAAACAAACAACTTTTACAAAACTATGCCTATGCATGCCCTCTGTTAGAGCAAAAGGGGAAGGAAAGAAAAACACCTGAAAAGCGAACAAAGACAATTGCTCACTTGGGCTTTTTTTTTTTTTTTGGAAACTTAAGAAGCTTGGTCCAGGAAAAGCTAGCAGACCTCTATCTTCTGCTCCCAGAATGGAAGACGACTAAGAAGACAAACAACTCCCATCACCATGACCTGACCTGGAGGAGTAGAGATGACAGGTCTATTTAGAGGACTTTGTATGGTCAACTATCATTAGTATTTCTTGTTGGCAGAGGAGAAAAGAGAAGAACGGGGTGGAGGAAAAGGGGGGGGCAGAGAGGAGATGGGAGAGGAGAAGAATGGAGAGAAACATTTTTTATTTTAATCTTAAATACCAGGGGTGAAAACACACCAAAAAACAACACAAGTGAAGAAAACATGCAAGATACTAAACATGCACCCTTTCTTTAGAAATTATCACATTTATGCAAGCGTACTTAAATACTTAAAACATTTCAAACAAACAATATACAAATGTGTTACATAAAAATGGCAATAACAGAAAAATATCCAAGTAAATAATTAGCTCTCAAGAACTAAAGAAACCAAGTAAATGGAAGTTCTTGTCAAAAAATAGTAAATGCCTTGGAATTTTTCCTTAGATACTAAAAAATTAGATGATTTCTCATCTCTACAAAGAACAAAACCATTACACACAAACTGCACTTTGAAAAATTCAAATTTGAAATAAACACTACCTAGAGAAATGGTAACTTAAAAAAAAAAAAACTACCTAGTACCACAATAAGGCAAAATCATCAGAACTAACTCCTCTAGAGGGGAGGAATTATGGATTGGTTTAAAAGAGCAAAGCTAAAAATCTGGCAGACTCATCCAATTTTTTTTTTCTCTTTAAGATATAGAACCCTAGAACACAGGGAGGTGAGAAAAGATGGAAACAAAGAACGTCCAGGGGACAGGGTATATACAATACACAGAAACTCTAAAATCTTTTTTTTGGGGGGGGGGGAAGAGGTATAAATTATTTGTTGTGAACACTTAGTGAATCAGGATGGACGGAAAGAGATTTTTTTTTTTTTTTATGGAAAGAGGTATCTTAAGGGAATTTTAAATTAGAGCACAGCGAATAAATCTATTCTGTTAAGAGCTTAAGTTTGAGTTGGTAACAAAGTAACAAGAAAGTGGATTAATCCTAATAAAAATCCAAGGTTTGTGACTGGCCATTTTAAATTCATACTAGGAATTATTATGGATTAAGTAAAATAATTTCTGCTGTGTAGCGCCCACCCCACCCCACCCTCCTTTAATAAGGAGCTAACACTCTCATCAATTCTTCAACTTCCTGGATAAATACTTCTTGGGAAAACACAGCATTTCCTTTGTCAGTAACTGAAATCAGGTTGTATCATGCTTGTATCCCCGACTTCGCTGCTCTGAGTCTCATGGAAAGTGAAAACCATTTTCCAGGTCATGAATTTTTGAGGGTTTAGGTATTTTAAAACACCTTGCCGGTTCAGGATTATTTTGAGACATTTCCCATGAGCACAGCAAACTACCACCTTGTTCAGGGATGCAGATCAAGTGGGATTTTATGAGATTAAGAACAACTTTTGAGACAGCTTAACACTTTGGTGTGACCACGGAGACACCCTGGTTTGAGCTTCCCTTGGACGTGAACATGAAGATAATAAAAATAATGCTAGGATCCTTCTGACCAATTTGCTGCCCAAGTGTGCCTTTCAGCCAAAATATCCCTTTCTTTTTTGTTTTATTTTTATTTTTTTATTTTATTTATTTTTTAAATTTTATTTTGTTAGTCACCATACAATACATCATTAGTTTTTGATGTAGTGATCCACGATTCATTGTTTGCGTATATCCCTTTCTGATGCCAACAGAGTCTTCCAATTCTAATCATTATTACACCATCTCTTGGAAATGAGAGAAGTGTTTCTAATTTTAAAATTAACTAAAAGCAGATGCTGGAGTCCCATTAAACTCTTCCAGCTGCTACTGAACCACTGGCAACCCGAGTCTATTTAATTTAGAGCCCACTAATGGTAAAAAGGAAAATCTGACTGCCAAAATTGCACACCCAAGTTAAACCAGAGAGGCAGAAAATGAAAACAGCTCATGAAAGCGAATGTATTCTAAGACAGCTCTCCAACTGATGACGGGCAATTTTTCCTGTGGTTAATAGCTAAAAAAAAAAAAAAAGGTTATTCTTATTAAATCCTTAATTCAAATACAGCCAAACAAGCAATCCTATCTGCAACACATCAGCTGATTTTATTCATCTTGGTTTATGCTTCCGAAAACTGAATCTTCCCTACAATGCTTTCAGATGCAGGCAGGTTTAAATGCATTGACAGCATACCTGAGGGCATTGTTAATATTGATTAATTAAAGTGAGATATCAAGTTAATTAATATTTAGCAAGGTCAAAATGACAGACTGGTTTGACATGCAGGCCCTCCAGCCTGATGAGTTATCACTCCTCAAGAGGCAGCCTGTTGTAGACGAACCATGAGAGACAATGGACTCTGAAAAACAAACAGGGTTCTAGAGGGGAGGGAGGTGGGAGGATGGGTTAGCCTGGTGGTGGGTATTGAGGAGGGCACATTCTGCATGGAGCACTGGGTGTTGTGCACAAACAATGAATCATGGAACACTTCATCTAAAACTAATGTTGTAATGTATGGGGATTAACATAAGAATAAAAAAATGAAAAAAAAAAAAAAAGAGGCAGCCTGCTTTGGGGTGGGGAGGGAAGTGGGGCCCCTTACAGGTGGCACTGAGATGACAGCAGCGTGTAATGTAAAAGCGCTTTGTCATTCACGTAATGTCTGGGGTAATGAAATGAATTCGCTTTCTGGCTTCCTCTAGTCTGCGATGCCAAAGAACACTGTGTTATCAGCACAGATGGAGCATGCATGGTTCTGGAGAAGAGCCTGGTGCAAACTACAAACAAGCCACTGTGAATACCAATGAATCCCGGAAAATCAGATCCTTGCTGTCAAGTGACAGTTTTGGAAGCAACATAAAAATGAGTGAGTCCCAGTGGTCTTGTCCAACCAAATGTACTGTCAAGACTCTGGACAGGCAATTTGGAAGCCATGCAAATCGCAGAGGCCTGGCTGCTTCTTTCCTCTGAGAAGCCAGGGCAAGAAGACATTCACCCATGAGCCTGCATTCTTTTTCCACCACCCCCCACCACCACCACCATTTCTTAATCAGTAAAGAGGGAGTGGATAATCTGGGCTGAGGCAAACACTAATCTACTTCTCTGCATCAGCTAGCTCTGCTCAGGAGAAAGCTCATCTAGGCAGTAGAAGAACAGAATGGATTCACAAGTATGCTGTACATTACTATGAAATATTAAGTGGTGAAGTCAATGAACATAAACAAATAATGCATGGAAAATGATTAGAAAAGAGGCATACCCATCAACATACTCAGAAGTCTCTGGACCTTTGAACTCACCCCCACAACTCTGTACAATCCTTGGTCATTTATACCTATTGGAAGAGACAAAGTGTTAGCAAAATACAAGACTGTCATATTTTAAAAGCTGGGAACAAACAATTGCATTCAGAATCTTTGCTAACTCACATTAGCAGCATTCCTGTTGACTATAAAAATAACGTTCGACAAAAGCAAGTGTTTACCAACTTGTTTTAGCAGCTTGGTATTCATGAGTTATGGTTGGAAAATAATCTCATAAAAACAACGTTCCATGTGGACAAAATGTAATGAGTCAATGTTAATGAAAGAAGTTCCTTAAGTAGTACTCATGTGTACCAATGCACTCTGTAAAGATGCATTGTAACTTTCGTGTTTATTATGTTTACTTATTCTTGACTTTTTTCTTGAAAAGTTTTAGCCTTTTAAAAATAACATGGTGTTAATTAGGACACAGAAAGAAATTGTTATTTGGATGATTCTTTAAGACCCTGGAAACTGCATTCAAAACTAAGGCAGAACTGTTTTTGTTTTTAAGAGCTGTTACATGCCCTGTCCAGTGAGGAGCTCTGAAACTTCCAAGGAACATTTCTACAAAGTATACATCAAAATGAACCAAATCACAGCATTCTCTCTCTGCAGAGCCGGGGAAACAAAATATCTCTTTGCACAACAGACAAGAAGTAAAGGCAAGAAAATATACTGTCGAACATAATTTAGTATATCGAATACATGGCACGTTTGGATTCTGATTTGAATAAACCAACTTATAAAAGGGCACTTTTGAGGCAATCTGGAAACTCTGAGTGACATTAAGATTAGGTCAGAAAATATCCCTATTTTTTTAAGGTACATACCGAAAAGAGTGAAAGAAACCTATCTAAGATTTGCTTTAAGAGCAAAGAAGGGATAGATGAAGCAATTTTAGTAAAATCTTTATAATTGTTGAGCCTGAGTAATAGGAATACAAGAGAGTTCACTGTACCACTCTCTCTACTGTTTTTATGCTTGCAACCTTTCATAATAAAATAATGACTTTCAAAAAAACAAGACTTATCTTTATTTCTCAAGAGAGTTACAGCTTGTTGCCTATGTTTATGGTCTGCACTACCAATGTTAAAGCTAACAAGAACACAACTGGCTGAAAGGAAGATGATGCCTCCAATCCTCCAAGTTTCCAAAACAAAACACCATCCAAAAGGCCCTGGAATTTGCCCAAGGGGGCTTACTTTCTTTTTGCCTCCCTGCATGGGTGATGAATAGAATACCAGACAGATTCTGAAGGGCTGGATTCAGGTCAAAGCTCAGTCACTCCTCAACCCTGAGACCTTGGGCAGAGAGACCGGAGATTTCTCTGAGTCTCGATGAGGTATCTGAGATCAAGGATAGCATCTTGCACCTTGTGTTATGGTGGGAGGATACTGAGACGGTATTAACACATGTACTGTCAATTCTTACACACCACACACATAAAAGCGCTTATTATTCCTTGTAAAAAAACAAGTCTTTATTTTCCTTTTCTCTTTTTGCCTTTCATTTATTTCTCCTTAATCATTTTTTAAGCTTCTCAAATGTCCTACTTATCTATTATATGCAAAATTTTGTGTCCCTCCAAAATCCATAACCCTCACTACCTCAGAATTTGACTGTTTGGAAATAAAGTCTTTAAAAGAGGTAATTAAGTTAAAATTAAGTCATTAGGGTAGACCCTAAACCAGTATGACCAATGTTCCTATAAGAAGTTGGGACACACACACAGAGAGAAGACGGTGTGAAGACACAGGGAGAAGACAGTCACCCACAAACCAAGGAGAGGGGCCCTTAAAAGAAACCAACCCTGCTGACACATGGACCTCAGGTTTCTAGCCCCAAGCATTCTGAGAAAATAAATTTCTATTGTTTAAGCCACCCAGTCTGTGGTACTTCACCATGGTAGTCCAAGCAAACACATACACCTTCTCTCTCAATTATCTCAAAGAACCAGAAGAGCAAAGACTAGCCTTTCAGTCTACACATGTCTGTTCTAAAGACGTTTTGAATGCTAAAGAACCAAAGCAGCAGAGAGGCATCTTCCTGATGGGGAAGCTCACGGACTCCAAGAGAGAGAAAAATTCAGGTCAGCCCTGCCAGGAGTTGATAAAAAGGAAAGGAAATTGTCAAGAAACACAAAAATCAGAGTTTGAGCCTGCTACAAGAGAAAAGACTGGGCTTCATTCCTTCCTCCCCCTAGAGGCCACAAGGCCATGTCCGGAGAGTTTAAAATACCAGAGGATTTTTTTCTCAATACTCCTCTATTTAAGAAACCTAAAATAGTTTGACCTCAGTGCCAGAAGCCAAAAGAGCAAGTCATATTCTGCAGTCAAACAAACATGCGCCTTTGAGAAGGGCCTAAAATACATAGAGAAATGAAATAAGAATGTTACCTCAGCAATAATCATCACTCTGTGCTGGTAATTACTATCAGATAATTGATCAAGTTCAAATTCATCAACCTGAGAGAAGCTGAGTTAATTGCTAATGCATAATGAAAGGCGCAAGGGGGAATTGATCCTACTCAACGCAGTTTCCACTTTTTTAAGATGAAATTTAAATAAACCTCTTATCAAAGCAGCTTGGAAACAGCCCGTAAAACACACACACACACACGCATGCACATCATGTAGGATATTGTTTCTTATTACAATGTCCTTAAAATTAAGAAAATTGGAACATACTTTATATCTATGAACACACACGTGTCCTATAAAAGACAACAAATAAATATATTTGAAGAATATAAACCAATCAATACGCCAAGTCCCATGAGTGGGTTTATCACAGTCTCTCCGGATTCTCTTCCACATTTTCCCCTTTCAGTCAAAGGAGTCACTATGGCTAATCACCAAGCATTAGAATTTTGAAATTTTCTTTGACTTCCTCTCTGTCACTTTCCAAATTCAATAGGTCAGTGTACACAATTTCTTCAAACTTCAGACTAATCTCTGCTCCTTCAACACAGTCTTCAATTTTATACACACACATTTATTACGGTATCCTTACAGGAAAGCACACACGACCATAATTCATTCAGAACATCATCATTTTTTCTTTTTATTTTTCTAAGTTCTCTTGATTATCTAAGTTCTCTTTCATCCCCACTTAAGAGTAAACCATCAGATCAAGTCTCGATTCCAGAACAAGTAGGGAAGGCATAAACACATAAATATCCACAATGGGCCCTACCTCACCTACCCACATTTACTGTGGAATATTCATCTTCATCAGAGCAGACCCCAGACTATCACCCACAAGTAACCAAATTCATTCCCTCCTGAGGCAGAGGTCCCGTCTGACAGAAACGTTCTTTCCCTTTGCTTCACAAATTACTCCACTGTCAAGTATTTATTCATCAAATATGTGCCAAATACTGTTCTAGCTGCCCGAGATTCAATGGTGAGCAAAATGAAGTCCCATCCGGACCTTCAAAACCAGATAAAAATCCCACCTTTTCTACCACCAGCCCACAGTGATATTTCCTTTCTCTGAATGTGACTCATAATTAATTCCTCTTAAAAACAAAAAAAAATAAAACAAGCCCATAATCTCTTATTCGCAATTCCCAAAATCAAAATCTGAATGCTTGACCTGACATCAGATTAGTTATGTATTTTTCCCCCACTCAATGTGAATATTCCTAATTAACCACGTTAAAGGCAATTTCCACACACAACCTATCTGGAGATGTTACATACTGTCTACATTACCTTTCTAAAAACACATCCAACCTCATGATTTTCAGCCCTGTGTTCTACCTTCTCTTCCCAAATACACAGAGACATGGAAAGATACTAGGTCAATCTTGGTTTTTGTTTTTAATAGCTTTCATGGTGCCTTGCATAGAATAGTTGAAGAGGCATGGCCAGGGTGACTTGACTCAAAATTAACTTGGAACTACAGATATAGATTGGACTTGGTCCAAAACAGACATTACAATTAGGAACTAAAAACTTAAAATATCCAAGTTATTACAATTTTTTCAGGATATCAACATTCTCTGATGTCATTACAAGACTTTCTAACTTTTAACAAAAATTCATCATCTGATCAAAGTGTTATAGACCCAAAGATTTTTTTCTCTTTTAATAAATAAGATTGTTTCTGATCAGTAGTAAAAAAAAGGGTAAGTGCTCTCCGTCACCATGATGAGCAGCTGCTCACAGCTGTTCCCGGGCAAAGTGGACAAGGTGAAATCAGATGTGTCTTCCTTCCCACCACCTGTCTCCTCCAATCTCACACAGTCCTGTCACTGAGAACTAGCTACATCTTTCTTAAGGAGAAAGTCAAAAAGTGGAAATGAGTCAGGTTTCATCATCATCTCTGCCCAACAGCTTCCCTCTCAGAACCCAGAAGATGCTGCCAGAACCAGAGTCTATTCTACTCCATAAAACACCTGCAGAGAACTGCCCAACACCAGTGGGCACTCAGGCCCTGGCAGGTGAGCTGGAGAAGCAAAAAAATAAGATGCTCTGGGACAACAAAAGAATTAGATGCAAAAGGAAAAGAAAGCCAAAGAGGGTGGATAAGTTCAGTTAAACAACAGAGGTGGGTACAAAGGCTGGAGTGGCTGCAACTGGCAAATAAATGTATTGAGTAAGAAGAACACAGGAAGCGGCATTTAGAGTAAAGGAAGCAGGAGAGAGAAGACAGGTAATTAAAACACGCACACACAGAGGAAAGGTCAACAAAGAACAGAATGAAAGGAAGGAGAAATTGGAAATCAATGAGAAGCAGACTGGAAATTATATAACATTTAAATTCTTATTAATTTCATAAAATATTGTGTACTTACTATATTTTAAGCACTAAGGTAGAATAAAGTGAAGACAGGGTAAAATTTTTTAAAGAGAATTAAAATTAAAAGAGCGAGTAACTTGGGACCAACCCAGCCATAAAGTCTTTCCTTTCCTTTCTGGCTTCAGGAGCAGATTCCATACCTGATAACTCAGGATTCTTAATAACTTGCATGATCCTCAGCACATGGTATACATTTAACAAACAAATTGGATAAATTAATGGA